TTTGTTTTATGGGTTTAGATTACTGATTTACTATCTTAAATGGCTAGTTTTCTGGAGTCAGTTTTGATAAAATATACATTTTTAAAAATGTGTCTTTTTGTCTTGATCAGTTCTGCCAGGACACTGTCAATTTTATTAGCATTTGCACAGAATAAACTTTTGGCTTTGTCAATTTGTCTATTTTATCTCTGCTTTCTCTTTTACTACTTTCGAATTTAACTTTATCATTTCATTCTTCCATATTTTTCTGCTGTTCTTTTTTTAACTTCCTGAGCTGATTGCTTTTTACTTTAAATTATAGCTTTTAAGATTTTCTAACAAAAAGATTTAGGCTCTATCCTTCTAAGCGTTTCATTTTCAGTGTCACTTATGTGTTTTGATATGTAGTATTTTTGGTACTGAATGATTCTTTCGAATACTCACATTTTAGCTTTTATAGCAATTATCATTTTCTTAAATGCTATGATTACACTTTCTATTTGTTAAGTTTATGTCTTTCCCTATTAAAATGTAAACTTCTTAAAAGCAATTTGCTCGTTTGTCTTGTTTGCTGATGTATATGCATAGACCCTAGAACATAGTGGGCCCTCTAAGATATCCAGGAATGAGTGAACAATTGCTCTTCTTGCCCCCAAGAGGCAGTCACAATTGCTTTCAGATGCTTTATACACATTGACACATTAATTTTTGAATGGAGATAAATCATTACATCAAACTTTCTTTTACTGGGGATGGGATTAAATATAGTAAAATGTCATCACTATAATATATATTATTAATATAATACATAAAGAAGGACATGTTATTAACTACAAGACAGAAAACAAGCTCTGATTTTTAATTTCTGCCATACCAATAGAATGGGAGCGCTGGAAAGAAGCCTAGTGGGGCAGTGTGCACAGTGGAGCAGTAAAGCATTTGTGGCTCATCCTGATTGAGTCCTACCTTGCAAATTACCACCATTTACTTATTCTGCCTGTAGGCAGGGTACTTACGTACTAGGCTTCAGTTTCCTCATTTATAAATTGGCAATAACAATGATAGTGATAATATGCACATTATAAAATTTTATGGAGTTAAACATGAAGTTATTTTAATAAGGTAGACACTTGATTTTGCCTCCATTTCTTAACTTGCTTCACTCTCCTAGAATTGATGACTTCTGAGACTCATAAGAGTTCATCACTTTAGCTACATGGCTAGTTGAGAATGGAGTCACAGTAGATACTAGGCTAATAATACATTCATGTGTTATGGCTTTCTGGGAATATTTACATTATATAAGAAAGTGTTAAGATAAGGAATTAGCAATTTTTGATGAGATTCAGGGTTTGACTATCGTGGGAAAGAAGAACTTAGATGGGTCAAGGTTTATTTCCCAAGGCATTAAGTTGGATTCAACTTTCCTTGGATCACACTGGAAGTGCCAAATTGGGTAGCCAACCCACATATATGCCAGCATACAGTTATGAACTCTTCAGGGAGATTTTTTTCCTCCTTCCATCCAATGCCAAGTTCAAGAAAGGCATGTTTCCTCATTGTCTCTATAGGTGAGTGTATTTCTAGTTGTCTTGATATGTTAGGCTTCAGTACTTATTAGCTGATTAGTAGCTATTTTATCCATGTATAAAATCCATTCTTTTTTTAAATGTTGGTACGAGCACACCAGTGTCAGAGATCATTATTTTATAGTTAGAATCAAGCTCCCTGACAAGTTAGAGCACAAAACTTTTGAAAACTGATACTCGGCTTATGTAGATCAGGACAGTATTAGCTCTGCCGGACAACATTCAGTCACATCCTTCCCCAAGGCGATGACCTTCCTTTTCTTCATTGACTGCCTGACCAAGGAGACATAAAACAACTAGATCGTACAGACAGTTCTCGAGAGCATTGTCATCAGCTTGAGCTATCATTATTGAAACAGCTTCCAGCTACTAACATCTTTTGAGGTGAGATGTGAGAGAGAGAGTGGGTCAGGCTTTCCTTTCTTCCTGCTGGTATTTGTTTTTGCCTCTGATGGTATTCCCTGCTTGGTAATATATGCCTTGACTTTGTGACCTGTTTTCCTGCAATAATTCTTTGGTGGAAAAATCCAGCAATACAGCCAAGAGTTAGTTCTTCCTCTGGCTCCACGCGTCTGGCCCAGAGAGCACAGGCTGTAGGGTTAGCAAACACATCTCGCTGGGTTACTGTGTTAGCAACTCAGGACTTTTTCTCCAGTGCTGGGCCAATGGGGAGTCATTCTGTTTCCAAGTTCAAGACTTTTGTTAATTGATGAATTAATCCAAGGGTGAATGTAACTTGGTGGATAATAGCCAATGGGCTGGTATACCAGTCTGCTATATTTTTCAAATATAAGACTGGTTGGTAGTGCTGGGGGAGAGCAGGAGCAGAATTAAGAAACAAGGGGAAGATTTATACTCACAAAGGGTAGCAAAATCCATTCACTAAAATTATTGCAGAGACTCTAACAGAGATAATCACACTTAGTTGTGACATAAAATATTTGCATCATTTACTTCACTCAGAATTTTGATGCAGTCAATAGGATAATTCAGGGCACTAGATTGTGTCAAGAAGACCTGCGGGTATGGGGTATATTTCAAGTCTGCCTTGTTTTACCTGCAAGGCTGCAGTGTATGTCTCTGGTTTCTGCATATAAATCCTTCCTTCCTTCCTTCCTTCCTTGATTTAAGAATCAAGTTTAACCTTTGTACAATGCTGCTGGGATGATAAAATGGTGCAGCTGCTATGGAAAACAGTATTGTGGGTCGTGAAAAAATTAAAAATAGAATTACCATATGATCCAGCGATCCCACTTCTTGGTATACTGTGTATCCAAAAGAAGTGAAAGCAGGATATCAAAGAGATATTTGCACGTGTACGTTCACAGCAGCACTATTCACAATGGCCAAGAAGAGGTGGAAACAAGCCAAGTGTCCGCCAATCGGTGAATGAGTAAACACAATGTGGTCTATATGTGCAATGGATGACTATGCAGCCTTAAGAAGGAAGGGCATCCTGTGTCATGCTACAACATGGATGGACCGTGAGGACATTATGCTAAATGAAATAAGCCAGTCACAAAAGGACAAATACTGTATGAGTCCACTTACATGAGGTATCTAAAGTAGTCAAGTTCACAGAAACAGAAAATTGAAAGGTGGGTACCAGGGGTTGGGGGAGGGAGAAAAGGGAGTTTGTTGTTTATTGGGTATGAAGTTTCAGTTCTGCTGGATGAAAAAGTTCCGAAGATCTGCTTCACAATGTAAATATACTTAAAACTACTGAACTGTGCACTTAAAAATGGTTAATATGGTGTAGATATGAAGTGTTATTTTTTTTGCCCCATACAAACAAAAGAATCAAGTCTGTAAAGGAATGATTTTTTTTCTTGCCTATCTCATAGCATTGATGAGGATCAGATAAAGGCAGTGAGTACACATGAAATGGTACGTGGCCAAGGGTAATTACTGTGGCATTGCTCACAATAGCAAATGGTTGGAAATGATCCAAGGGTTCATCAATAGAAGAGTATTTAAATAACAATGGCACATCCACGTAATGGAAGGCAGTGTAGCTATAAAAACAAATGAGAAAATTCTCTGTATGGAGCAATCTCCTAGAGGTTAAGTGAGGTGGGGGCGGGGAGCAAACTGCAGAAGAAAATCTATAGAATAATAGCATTTGTCTAAGAAATAGGAAAATATAAATATATATTTGTATATATTTATATTTTTATAAAAATTTCTGGGCTGGGCACAGTGGCTCATGCCTGTAACCCTAGCACTCTGGGAGGCTGAGGCGGGCGGATCATTTGAGCTCAGGAGTTTGAGACTAGCCTGAGCAAGAGTGATACCCCGTCTCTACTAAAAAAATGGAAAGAAATTGGCCAACTAAAAATATAGAAAAAACTAGCCAGGCATGGTGGCACCTGCCCGTAGTCCTAGCCATTTGGGAGGCTGAGGCAGAAGGATTGCTTGAGCCCAGGAGATTGAGGTTGCTGTGAGCTAGGCTGACGCCATGGCACTCACTCTAGCTGGGTAATAAAGCGAGACTCTATCTCAAAAAAAAAAAAAAAAAAAAGAAAAAAAGTTCTGGAAGGATACCAAAGAAACTCCTAAAATATTTATCTATAGTGGGGTGGTGGTGGAGAGGTTGGTGCAAGGATAAGAATAAGATTTTTCATTGCCTTCCTTTTGGGATTATTTTCATTTTTGAAACATGAGAATGTATTGACAATTGTTTTAAATGGTAGTATGTGAAAAGGGTTTTAATAGCTGTAAAGCATTGTACGTGTGTAAAGGTCATTGTTATCTTCATGATTATTAATAATATATCAAAATAAGTATGGGCTTTATAGATATTTAGTAAATGAATAAATCATTAGTCAAATCCCTTCTACTGCATAATATACTTAAAATGAAAAGATTCGGTTTAGCCACTCTTCCCCAAGTTCATGTAAAATTGGGCAGCTTTGATTTGGAATACTCTTGTTCACTTCCTCTCCCTCCCCCTTTCAAGATCTCTCCTGTGCTTGGATAGTTTGATTCCTAAATTTCAGTTGGAGGTGATGGTCATCTGTCTGTGACACCTGTCACCCATTGACAGCCAGACCTGGTATAGCAGACAAAGTTGGCTGGACAATTGTCATACTGATTCCTTTCTCCTTTGTCACTCCTCCCTCCAGAGGGGTTTAGGGAGGCGCAATCTCTCCAGAGAGAGGAGAGCTCTGTTTTGATCACACAAGGGAACCACACAGCCAATACCAGTCTAAGGTGTAATAGCTCCTAGAAAAATAGTTCCCAGTGGGAGGCGATTTTGTCTCCCGGAAGACATTGGCAATGTCTGGAGACATTCTTGGTTGTCATGACTTGGTGTAGGCTGCTACTGGCATCCAGTGGGTGGTGGTCTGGATACCACTAGATACTCTATGATGCACAAGAGTTATCCAGCCCCAAATGTCAATAGTTCTACCAAGGTAGAAAGACTCTGTCTCGGGAGAAATGACATTTTATCTGAGCCTTTCTGAATACCAGAGAGCCTTAAGATGTATAGCAATGACTTCTTAATGGTGAAATATCCAGATCATGGCTATTGGTGGCAGGATCTCTTCGGCCAGAGATCCTTTCTGGCTCTTTTCAAAACATGTCATTGTGTGTGTCGGCTTAGTCCTCTAATTCTTCATGCTTCCCTTGCTCACAGTAGACTGTTGATTAATGGATTAGTTTGCTTGTTTTCACCTGTTGTGGTACAAGGCCTGCCAATTCCCGACAGTGTGAGTCCTGTTTTTCAGACAATAACACCCCCAATATGTGTTCTGCCACCTTGAATATGATAAGCTTCTAAGCCCAGCCCCTGTCCCCATAAGCCAGAACTGCTCAATTGCAATTGCTGCATTGTCATCAGTCTGTATGGAAGGATGCTTTCAGAAGAGGGCCTGAGGAATTTGGCCTTGTGTCTACAGCTGTGGTTGTCAGAGCATGGTCACTGGAGCAGCAGTGTCAGCGTCACCTGGGACCATGTTAAAAATAAAACAGAAAGACTTGTTAGCATCGTTACTATAACTACATGTATTGAGAAATATTCTAATGAGGGATATGGTAGGCACCATTCCCCAAACTTAATCAAATTTACTGTTCCAGAAACTTAGGGTGTGGCATTGGCAATCCGTGTTTATCAAGAGTCCAGTTGATTCTGATGCACGCATGAAGTTTTAGAAACACTGGCTTGTAGTGAGGCTATTGTTAGGAATGTTATTTATTACTTACCCAGTGTTATTTTTATGAGGACTTGGGGAGACATTTCTTTCTGGTACACTTTCTTGAACATTAAAAAATAAACAAACCAAAAACCTTAGGAAGACAGTGTATTATGTAACTGATGAGTTTCTTTTTTTGCATTGACTGCTAAAAAGCCGGGAGTCACATCAATGTCTCCCATAATGGTGTACATTATGGTGGTATACATTGTTGTATTAGCTTCTCTCCTTGTGTTTATATCCCTGTTTTCAAGTCATCATCTTGTTTTCATGTGTCTTGTTTATGTTATTCAATTTCTAAAAATACATAGAATGTGACTATCTCTGTGTCACAATGTTAGTATTTGTTACGTGTCAGAAAGGCTAGCTCAAGGCCGGGCGCGGTGGCTCACGCCTGTAATCCTAGCACTCTGGGAGGCCGAGGCGGGCGCATTGCTCGAGGTCAGGAGTTCGAAACCAGCCTGAGCAAGAGCGAGACCCCGTCTCTACTATAAATAGAAAGAAATTAATTGGCCAACTAATATATATAGAAAAAAATTAGCCGGGCATGGTGGCGCATGCCTGTAGTCCCAGCTACTTGGGAGGCTGAGGCAGAAGGATTGCTTGAGCCCAGGAGTTTGAGGTTGCTGTGAGCTAGGCTGACGCCACGGCACTCACTCTAGCCTAGGCAACAAAGCGAGACTCTGTCTCAAAAAAAAAAAAAAAAAAAAAGAAAGGCTAGCTTGGATGAGGGCATTTGACCTTCCAGTAGGAGTTAAAATGTTCTTTCTGTATTCCTCATCATGAATTCCCAATCCATCCCCCATCTCTGGCTTTAACATGCGATCAAAGGATTGTAAGCAAGGGTAATTTTTAGTTTTTTTCTAGCCTTCAGCGCTCCAAAGAGTCCACACACTTTTAGGGCTTTGGGAACTCTGGCTTCTGACCCCCCAAGTCACTCCTAAAACATGCCATACCAGTTGGGTTTTTGTCTTCTCCACGGCTGTCTCAGAAATGTTACCTTAACTTGCACAATAGACGTGTTCCTAAAAAGTTGCATGCAATCTGAGCCACATGTATACCCTAGACCAATGTTTAAAGGAATCTTATGGTAAATCCTTCAGTAGCACAAAAAATTGTACTCACCTGCAATTGATCTGTTTTAAAATCAGATTTCCTGATATCAGAATTTATAGATGGTGAGGTTTACCTGCTTATGACTTCTGGTAATCTAAAGCTACCTTTACTACAAACCAAGGTAAAAGAGTTCCCTCAATGTGATACAGGGAATTTTTTTAGAAAGATAAAGGAGAAACCCTAAGAATCAGAACCCCCAAAATTAGGAATATAAGGTGGTGCTTTTTCACTGGCAAAAATTTGAGTCCGGGGCTCACAATGGAGCTTTTGTGAAGGACTTATGTAGCCAAACTTCTTTTTTGTGAAAACAGAATCAAATCAAACCGCACCATTGCATATTAGGAATTTTTGGAAACACAGTGGAACATTCCAAGATAAAATATTAGGTCATTTCAGGCCTTGAGGTGGGGTGAAGTGAGCTACGTTGGTCCTCAGATTGTTGTTGTTGTTGTTGTTTTTGGAGAGCTAAAATATGTACTTGAGCAGGAAGAGCACTGGAAGGATGTCAGGAATCATGGATCATTCATTCATTCAACAAATACTTACTGAGTGCCTACTACGTGCCTGGCACTGTGCTAAATAATGGGGATGTGGCAGGGAAAGAAAATGGACAACGTCTTGCCTTACCTGGACCCTGTAATCTTAAAGGTAAACCTTCCTCCGTAGCTTTGGTCTGGTCATTTATTTGTTCCGGGCCTCAGTTGCCCAATTGTAAAATAAAGTTGTCAGACTAGATAATCTGTCTCCTGCGTCTCTTCCAGATCAGTATGTCTTGATTCTATAATCAGGGAATGAGTATTTCTTTAATAATGTGAAAGAACTGGCAGGTACAGAGTTTCTGGAGAGTTTTAGGATAGCAAATTGATTGAAGGGGGGGTGGGACCCGGGGAATTTGTCTTAAAGCGACATTTCCATAGCCAAAAGAGTGTCCAGCTGAGGTTGAGTGCCATGTAAGATGATGTGCAAATGTAACTGAGACCGAAGCTGGTGCCCCCAGCCACCCTCGTGGCACTGCCTCTGCTTTCTCCTTCCCTTTCTTTGCTTCTTCATCTTCATCTGGTAAGTCAGGATTAGTTCAGAGAAGGAGAAAGATGAACTCACCGAGTTCCACTTTGGGGGATAGAAAGGTAGGAACCGGGAGCCTGTCCCAACCTGAGATGAAAACCCAGCACACCCTAAATCTGTGTTATTCCCATTGCTGTCCGGGTCCAGGAGGAGAGACAAGTGCCCAGGGAACTTTCAAACAGGGCGTGAACTCTCCTCTCCTGCAGTCCACAGAAATGTTAGGCTAAGGGTATCTTCAACAATCATCTAAACCTAGAGGCCTCAATGGCATCCAAGCTCCCCTAGCTAGGCTAGAACTTCTCTGATTTTCAAAGACCTTTAGGAATAATAATTACGTTCCTAACCATGCATTTGTTTTACTGACTATAGAGAAAGAAGCCCACCATATGCTTCCACTCCAGTTAAACGCTATACATCATGAGTGCTTCTTTGGAAATAGTACTGCAGCCGTGCACTGATGAGCTAGAGGGAGTGTGAAGTCTGTTACAAATTCCAAATGATTTTCTCCTGCTGTGTTATTTTCTGTATGTGTGCATAGCCTGGGACACATCCTTAAAATCTTCACTGAGTTCCTCCCCACATTGAATAAAGTCATTCTGAATTTTAATTTTCTCTGGGTCAGCCTAGGGTCATTCATTAACACAATGACCACAGATATGTTTTTGGTGCCATCACTGACTTGTTGCTAAAAAAATGAAACCCCTATAGACCTTGGACCTACCCAATAGATATCACTCCCCCACGTTATCACGTTTCTTTCCTGGACTCACTTGCACTTTATAGCTTTCTTACTCAGGAATTGCATTGCTTGCCCCTACAGCTCTGGACATCTGTTTTCTTAACATTAATTTCATGTTCTTTTTCATATTCCCCAGGTCCCTCTTGCAAAGGTTACGCCTTGACACCAGGGAGCACAGTTGAATGTGCTTACTTTTAATTCTTTCAAAGATTTGTGCAAACCTCTTTAAATCCGTACAAATATCACTGATTTGTGGAGATTCACTGGGGACTTATTACATAGCATGCAAACAGCTCCTGCATAGAAAAAGCACATTGTGTTATGTTTGTGTCTCTCAGAATCCACGAGGATGAATCAGCTCCACAAAATATTTAATAAAAACAGCAACTCCTTAGAGAGTGGTTACTTCTAGGCAAGAGTGTCTGGGAGACACTTTTGCCAGTTGGAGCAGGATGCTTCATTTCAGATGGTTCCTCCACTCTGCCTCTCTCGTCAGTGCTCGGCAAGCCGGCAAGTATGAGACAGAGTCAAAAGGCAGTAGGAACTCACCAAATTGTTCCTAGTTGGGCAGATGGTGCCCTGGACTATTTTGAACGGGCTCCCTAACCTGTGAATGACCACTGCCATTTGACAGCAACTAAAAGATCTCTGAAATATTCTTCTTGTTTTCATCCCAGATTTAGAATTCAAATAGAAGTCCTGTATTTACTTAAATTGGTGCTATATTGGGGGGTGTTCAAAACCAATGAACAGGCAGATTGCCTGCAGACTGGAAGATAGAAGAATCATGGAATGTAAGAAACTAAACACTGATCTAACTACACCCAATGAGTCATCAGGAAACCTAGAAAGGGAACCAAGCTTCTTGCCCCATAGTCCATGGCTTGGCATCTCACTAACATGGAGAGTACTAGAAAGAGACCCATCTGGGTTCAAATCCTAGCTGTCACCTGTAGAGAATGTGACCTTAGATAAAACACTTCATTGTGTCCTTATCAATAGGATTGTAATAATAAACTCTTTATCTCAGAGAGTTGTTGTGAACATCAATAAAGGAGTGATATAAACTGAGGATAACACGTCCTGCAGAGCTTGATGGTCAGTAAATGGTAGGTATCACATCCATGCTCTTCCTCCTCCTACTTATTTTTCTTAGTGATTTCCACTTTAAAATGGATACATAAAAATACACTCCAAGCATTGCTAATTAGTTTCCAAATGTCTAATACTACATACATAAAAGAGGGCCTATGAGGCAAGGCACTGTAAGGAGAATAGGGGGCCTTGATCTTGGGCACAAATCCAATTCTAATTCAGAGTCAATGCAAGAACATAAACTTTTCTGGAGCTCTCCTTTCTCTCTTTCTCTTCATATATCCTAAGTTTTCAGCCACTACTCAGTGCTGATATTATATTGTCATACTTATTTGTCTTTATCCTTTTCTTTCTTTTTTTTTTTTTCTTCTTTGAGACAGGGTTTCTTTTTTCTTTGAGACTTTGTCACCCTGGCTAGAGTGCAGGGGCATCATCACAGCTCACAGCAACCTCAAACTCCTGGGCTCAAGTGATCCTCCTGCCTCAGCCTCCTGAGTAGCTGGGACGACAAATGCGTGCCAGCAGGTCCAGCTAATTTTTCTATTTTTTTTTTGTAGAGATGGGGTCTCGCTCTTGCTCAGGCTGGTCTCAAACTCCTGAGCTCAAGAGATCTTCCCACCTTGGCCTCCCAGAGTGCTAGGATTACAGGCGTGAGCCACCGTGCCTGGCCCACATATAGCATTATTCTTTATGCATGCTTTTAACATCTTAGCTTTTCTCTAGTTTCTCTTGTTTACTTCCATGTAAATACATTAAGCCATAAGCTGGGATGTCTTCAACTGGGGTCATGATTTGGGGTGCTGTGACCCAGAGAAGTGTTGCACAATTCCCTGATATAGTCATTCTGTTAGTAATCCATATTCCTGGGTTCCAACTTATATCTAATGAATCAGTCTCATTAGTGGGTGAGGGTGGTAGGGAATTATTTTTTTTTAAGTATTTTTAATTTCAGCATATTATAGGGGTACAAATGTTTAGGTTACATGTGTTTGAGAATTATGTTTTTAACTAATGCCTCCAGTAACCCTTCTGATCTGATACATTTAGGAAGTACTCCCTCCTGTGGCCTGGCATCTTTACATGATTTCCTGGCCCCGGACAGCCATACTGAACTCACAAGTCCGGGACAGTGGGTGAGAGAAGGCGAATGAATCTACACCAATTTATACCCTTTCTTAGAAAGTGTGTTCTCTACCACATATTCTGTGGGTCTTGGTTTGGAAGAATCATCTTTCTATTTATTGGACAGTATGCTATTGGAAGCTTTAGAATTTATGCACAATAATATTACCAAGCATTTTATTTTTTACAGTTAAGAGGCATTTAAATTATTATTAAAGAAGACAAACAAACTGAGCAACAAAAATCAGCAAAATATTTTCCTTAAAATTCAGATTGGTCCCTTTTTTGTTGCTGCTGTTGTAATTCTTTCTAATTGCTGATTTCTATCTTGGACCCCATCTCTTCTAGGAAAGAAACCAGTCAAAACATTGTGGGAGGCCGGGCGCTGTGGCTCACGCCTGTAATCCTAGCTCTTGGGAGGCCGAGGCGGGCGGATTGCTCAAGGTCAGGAGTTCAAAACCAGCCTGAGCAAGAATAAATAGAAAGAAATTAATTGGCCAACTGATATATATATAAAATTAGCCGGGCATGGTGGCGCATGCCTGTAGTCCAGCTACCGGGGGCTGAGGCAGAAGGATCACTCGAGCCCAGGAGTTTGAGGTTGCTGTGAGCTAGGCTGACGCCATGGCACTCACTCTAGCCTGGGCAACAAAGCGAGACTCTGTCTCAAAAAAAAAAAAAAAAAAAAAAACATTGTGGAGAGCCAGGCGTGGTGGCTTATGCCTGTAATCCTAACACTTTCGGAGGCTGAGGCGGGTGGATCATTTGAACTCAGGAGTCTGAGACCAGCCTGAGCAAGAGTGAGACTCTGTCTCTACTAAAAATAGAAAGAAATTACTTGGAGAGCTAAAAATATATAGAAGAAAAAATTAGCTGGGCATGGTGGTGCATGCCTGTAGTCCCAGCTACCGGGGAGGCTGAGGCAGTGGGATCGCTTGAGCCCAGGAGTTTGAGGTTGCTGTGAGCTAGGCTGATGTCACAGCACTCTAACCCAGGCAACAAAGTGAGACTCTGTCTCAACAAAAGAAAACAAAACAAGACAAGACAAAACAAAACAAAACACTGTGAAGACAAGCAGAATTGAATGCTGCCTTGTTTTGCAGAGTTGGGTTCCTAAATATCCACTAGGATAGTGATGACAGTTTGTGGTCTGTCCCACCTGCACACAACCTCATATGGAATAATATCTCCTTAGGCGTGGAGTCAAAGATCTTCTTTGAAGTTGTGTATCCCAATTTTTGCAGGCACGTAGAAGATCACATTTTGTAAAATTAACCTTCTTGCTTTGTATCTGATCCAAACATTAGAACACTCAACTTTGAGGAAAGAAAATATATAACTACTGTTTAAGTAAGTCAAAGTGGACTTTGAGCGATGTCCTATCTCATGTGAAAACTTGCTCTTGCTCTGAATGAGCTTCCCTCCAAAGTTCACCAGAGCCCATCTTCCCAATGAGGGATTTCAGACGTCAAGTAATAAACTCACCACCCAGCTGCCTTTGATGATAGATAATTAAGAAGAGGATTGTTGGAAGGCCACTGCCGATAAATTGGTAAGGGTCAATGCCAAGCAGCAGCAGCACATGGAATCAAGCTGCTCTAATTAGCCAGCACGAGCCATGCCAACCAATTCATTGTGTTCTGCCGGGAGAGCTGGGACGATAGAGGAACTCGCGCTGCGGAGCCGACCACACACACCTGGCATGCGGTGTGCACGCGACTCCAGCGTTCCAGTTGCACCTGCCACCAAAACGGGAG